TAAGTCAAAGTTGTGTTATATTCTGAGGCAGATTGTTTAATGATTATATAGTTTATTTGGGGTAAAGAATTCAGATGTCAGAATATTTATGTGTTTAATTCTAACTGAAGAGATAAACTATTAAATTTATTATCTCAAAACCCTTGATATCTTATATTTAAATGAGAATCAATATGGAGATGGTCAATAGCATAAGGACTAGAGGCAAATTGATTGAATACTGATTTTGTTACTCTCAAGCTGTGACCTTGAACAGTATACAGTGGGTATAATAATAGTATTTACCCCATATAATTTTCTGGGGTATAAAGACAATACTGTAACTATAAATTAATAGTTAGTACATAGAACTGTGCCTACCACATGATGTTATTTAAGCATATGTTAAATAAATGTTACCCTTTTGCTGGGTTAAGCTTTGCCAGTGGGTTAGATGGTAAATGTTTGGACCTTGGATATTCGAAAAGGAACATGGAAAAGCAGAAACTTCCAAGTGAAAGAAGCAATTTTTTTCTTCTAAACTTCAAATTTGTTTAGTGTACTAAACTATTCTGGTAAATGGGAGTAGTGACTTCAAATGTAGGTAGTATACATGACATTTATAAGTTAACTTTGCTCTAGGCGCCTTCAGTAGTGTAAAATGTTTTGATTTTGCTTGGAAGAGAAAAATGCTTCTCCTAATACATCTTTGACATTTCTGTGAGCATTGATTAAATATATTGTTTTCTTACTTCTTTAGAATTGATTTTATAAATTAAAAGACCAAATGAATATAGAAGTTTAGTACTTAAAATATTTTGATATATCAAACTGAAGATAAAGAATAACTTAAAATGTATATGTTTACAGGTTTTGCATCTCAGTTTATGTGGCTGAAATAAACATTTTATAGAATACTGTAATAATGACAAGTCATTTCATGTAATAGCACATTATTTATGATCTAATGAAAGGTGACACGTCTAAGTCAGATTGTTCGATTTTAAAATGAGAAATGAAATCTTGCCATTTGTGACAACATGAATCAATCAGGAGGCTATTATGCTAAGTGAAATAAATAAGGCAGAGAAACATAAATACCATATGGTTTCACTTATATGTGGAATCTAAAAACAAAACAACAAACAAACAAACAAGACTAACAGACCAAAGTGATGTTTACCAGAAGAAAGGGGGTAGGAGATAGTTGAGGGGGGAAAGGGGAAGATAGTCAAGAATGTTGCAGTAAGTTTACATGGTGACAGATGATTACTAGAATTAGAAGGGTGATCACATTGTAATGTATAAAAATGCTAAATCACTATATTGTACACATGGAACTAATATAGCCAATATGAGTGTATACCAACTATACTTAATTTAAAAAAATTAATAAATAAAATAAAACTAGAAATTTCTATTCTGCCCCAATAATTGCAGATTTCTGATTTTGGAGGTCCCAGGAGGTTTGATCATTTTTGGTGTTCATATAATTATAAATAACTAGAAATGCTCTTTTTTTAAAAAAAATCTGTACTTTCCTTTCATTGTTCCATTCGCTTATTTTGAAGTGATAACTTCATTACTTATTTGCCTAACTTGCATTTATTACACTAATTCTTTTATCTTGTGACCAATAAAATGGAAAGATAGTGAAACTTGAGTGTAATTTAATTTCAGCTAAATATAAAAGCTTAATCATTTACATGGAGGTTCTAACCATCCATTTTTAGACAGGTTCATTGTCATTTTTTTCATAGATCAGTAAATGGGGGTTGTTTTCTTATTGACATAGTAATTGTTTTTAATGCCTTATACTTTTAAGTGCATTGTCAGTTGTTCCAGCCACTAGATCATAAAAATTATGTAATGATTTTCAAATTACCTTGAATAAACAAATGTGTCCTATTTTTGAATTTTTTTATTTACTTGCATCATTTTTCTTGCTCCCTTCTCTCTTTTTCTTTTTTAAAAATAACTTGGCTCTGTTTTCCCTTGTAGGAACTAGGTCATTGCTTTCACCAAATCTGGCCATAAGTTTATTGCCCTAATATTTGAGAAACATCTCTAGAAGAAAAAAATCAAAGCTTCATTAAACACGTGTTCGAGAGGGGCACTTCTTTTTGCCCAGAGTAGAATCCCTATCTCTCAGCATATTTCTTGGAAGATATCAGTAGATCATTAAATGTTTACTGAATAAGCAAATGTTATCACAGGAATGTAAATCAATAATGTTCTTAGCCTATTTCTTTACTAGCAGCCGTTAGGCAACAGTGTAAATTTAAAATATAATAAGAGTTCTCTGCTCCCACCTATGGTGAAATTGTGTGTCATAGACTCAAAGCTCATGCCAAGAATAAGTGAAGAAAATGAAATTAAAAAAATAAATAAATAAAATCTGTTTGATGGTATTGGAGAGACAGTAAGGAAATCAGGGCCCCTCTTCCTTGAAACATATTAAAGATTAATTTTTGTCCTTTGAACTCTACAGGATTGTTTTAAATTCAGCTCTGCTTAAAGTGTTCATCTGTTTTATACCTCAGACTCTAGCCCTGAGCAGATTACTAATTCAGCAAATATTTCTATAGGAAAATTGAAGAACCTGGGACCATTTCTTTTATTTTTTTTTTTTTCTTTCGGATCACGGCCCCACACTACTTGGCTGACTTGTGTGCTCCACTGATTTTTCTCTTTTATTTCATTCACATGTGCTGTCATGTTTAACGTTTCCTTCTTTTTACATTGCAGAGGGAGTCAATTTGTTGTCTCGTTCTTAGTCCTTGAAATGAATACTGAGATTGATGATTATTGACCCTTCACTTATAATCAACTCAACTATTGTTTCTAGCCGTGGCAGTTTTCATTTCTTTACTACACTTTCACTTCCACTGGCAAATTCCTTCCTTAGAGTATTCAGTGTTGTAAGATATCACATGGGTTTATCACTGAAAGACAAGGATGCAACTACACACTTTGAGATCTGTGCTTAAACTGAATTACAAATGCATAATGACCAATCCATTGACAGGCTTTGAAAGAGGCTTTGATTAGTAGACTGAAGGGCTAGTAAAGAAGTTTGTACTTTGTACAGTTATAGTTGGGAGATCATGCTAATTGAAATTTGAAACATATTTTTGGTGGTTTCTGGTTTATTTAACTAAACCACACAACCGAAACTTGTGTATATCAGCATCATGTAAAATGAGGATTTAATGTATATTCAATTTATTAGTTATCTGAAAAATATAAATTAAAGCTACAATGTGATATCACTGTACACTTACAGGAATAGCATGGTAGGCAGAATTCTAAGATGGCACATGACTTTAGCCCTTGTATAATTACCTCCACTGGGAAGATGATAGGACTTCAATATTCTAATTATGCTATGTTACATGGCAAAAGGGAGTTTTCAGGTATAATTAAGATTATTAATCAGTTGACTTTGAGGTAATCAAAAAGGATATAATCTAACCTAATTGCACGAGTCCTTTAAAAACAGAGGGCTATTTCCCCAGCTGTTAGCAAAAGAAGTCACAAGATAGGAAGCATGCGCGGTCTTCAATGTGAGGGCCATTCTCCATTACTGAGACAGGCAGGCAATTGGCCATGGGTCTGCAGGTAGCCTCTAGGAGCTCAGAGTGGCCCTTGGCCACTAGCCAGCAAGGCAAAGGAGACCTGTTTCCCACTACTGCATAAAACTAAACTTTGGTAAGAGCCTGAACAAGCTCAAAAGTAGAGTCTTTACCCACAGACTTTAGATAAGAGCAAAGCCTGGCTGCCAACTTAACATTGGCCTTGAGGGACCTTAATTAGAGGACACAATTGAGCCTACCTGGACTAACATACAGAACTATGAGATAATAAATGGGTATTGTTTTAAGCTGGTAAATTTATGTTAATTTGTTTGTAGCAACAAAATTAATTCAATATTAAAATTTTGAAAAGAAAAACTGAAAAAAATAAGTATTGGTATAGATGCAGAACAACTGGACCTCTTATTCTAATTTGGGGAATGCAGGTTAGCACTATCAGTTGAGAAAACTGCTTAGAACTAACTACTAAAGCTGAACATAAAAATATGAACATAACCTAGAAGCAATTCATAAGTGTTTTTCCAATACAAATCTATTTATGCACCAAAAAAAGTGTAAGTTTATAAGCATTTTTGAAATAGCCCCAGGCCAGAAACAATCCAAGTGTCCATCACCAATAAAGTGTGTGTGTGTATACAGGGTGGGTATACAGGGTGTAAAGCTACTGTAAAAGTAGCTTTACAGTTGTATGCATGGAGAATAATATAGTGATTAATAAATATATAAGAATAAACTCTGTTTCAAATCCTCACAACTGTAAACCTACTTTTGCCACACCCTGTGTATGTGTATATATACGCATATATATGTACACACACATATACATATATAGATATTTATCATTCATTGGTAAGCTACAGTAGTACAGTTGTAAGAATGAACAAATTTAAATAAGCCACACAAAAAAGAGTACACCCACAAAAGAGTATAATATCACTTATATAAAGGTTAGAAATAGACAAACTCATCTATGGTTGTATACATAATTATAATGGCTAAGTTTAGAGGCTACAATAATGATTTGGAAAGGGTACCACAAGATTTTTAAGGTGCTAGTAATGCCCTATTTATTGATATTAATGCTGATTAAACAGATGTGTTCATATAGCAAGGATTAAGTTAACTGTGTATGATTTATGTTCTTCACATTCCTCAATGAAAAGCTTTTTTTTTTTAAATGAAGGATTGCAAAGTGATGGCAACACGCTGTTCACGGTGTAGCTTAAAAACAGAATAATTGCCTAAGGTCATACAACTAGTGAGTGAAAAAGAGTAGAAAATCATAATTAAGAATATTTTAATGATAATTAATGTTTTAGTTGAGTTATCACTTTAATTTGACTGAAATAAAAAAGAGAAAAAAGGGAAAAAGAATAGTTAATAAATAATTTTGACATTTACAATTGATTCTTTTAATAAAAACAGTTTGCCGGGAGGATTCATACCACTCTGTAGTCTCATGTGCTGCCGTAGTTCTCACTCCTGTGGAGCCAACGATAGAAATGAAGAAAAGAGAAGAACTAAAATTTCCTGAACCTTCCAAACAGTAAGTTGTTCATTTGATTCTTAGAGCTTTGTGAAACTAATACATAACCAATCAGAATTAGATTGCTCAGAAGTTGCGATTTATAATGATTGTGTTAATACTAGCATATCGAAAGCACATAAATAAATTTTGTACAACATTAAAAGTCAATCCTCTATCTCATGAAAAACTATGTCTTTCAACTTTGTGGGTTTGAACTATATCTCATCCAAGGCTCATGTTGTTACCTTACCTTAGGGACATGGGTAAGTAGTTTGAAGCACTTTGTTTCCTTAACTGTGAACATGAATGTATTGCTTATTTTATAGTTGTAGGACTTCATGGTCTAAAATGTGATCATGTTTCAATGTAAACTTACTTAGCCTAAATTGCGTTTGTATTTTTATAAGTAATGGAAGTTAACATTTTAAATAAATTGCCCTAAATTAAAACTTCACATTATTTAATGTTTTCCTATTCTTGCTATTTAAGCAGATCAAGCTTAGTTTATATTTAAGTTTGATCGTATATTGAATAAATGATAGATTTTTTTCTTATAATGGCCAGAGAGAACTAAATTCATGGTAACAAATGCGAGATATATGGACTTGAAATAGAAAATACACTAGAAATATTTATGGAATATGCATTAAATAAATGAAAAAGGAAAATTTACTGATGATTTCCCAATGAAAATAGTGTCATATCTGCTCTAAGACTTGCTGATGTATGGTGTTACCCAGGATTGTTGGCTCACCAGCTACTTCATGAGTGAGGCAGGGGTAACGTTACAGCCTTTGCTAGTTTTCCTCCATTGATAAGACTGTGTCATACTTGTTTGTTTCTTGATGTCATTCTGCTGAATAAGCTCCTGAAGACAGAGTTTTCTGGAACAAAAGTGCCTGCTACTCTGTGAAACCAATTAGAAAAATCCTGTAATGTTACATTTGATAATGCTGCATTCAAATGTAACAATGTGTATATTTGATTGTATGAATGTAATATTAATATCCTTGTTATAGAGAAAGGAAATGTTAACCAATTTCAGAAAGTAATGACTGTAATTCAGCGTTAATACAATGTAAAAGTGAAAACAATTTAACTGCTCTTAACATAGTCTAATTTTTAGGTTCCAAAAGCCATTTTTTGTCTAATAGAAGGGAGATTACATTTTATAAATGCCAATTAAATTATATTTGAAAACTCAAATATATTTAATGCAATATGTGTGTGTGTGTATGAGTTTATATGTTACCTATATATTTGCAAATTGAATCTTGAATTCTTTTAATTATCTTTCAGCAACTCTGTTCAAAATTATTAATAGTGTTATTTACTTACATAAAATATCTTTTTCCAGTGTTTAGCTCATTTAGTAATACTCAGGCATCCTTTTTCTGAGATATATATTAAGGCAGACAGCATTTGTTAACTGGCTGTCCTTTTCTTCCTGTTACTCTGCATCCACTCTCATACTCCTCTGTAGTTTCTGAATCTACTTTCTTGTTTGAATATTCTCTCCCAATAATATCATTCATTCATGTAGGTTTGTTATTGTTTACTTTTCTGAATCAGTGAGATGTCGGTTAAAATCTTAACTCTGCTACGTATTACATAAAAATTGGGGACATTATATTTAAAGTCTCTGTGCTTTCCTTTTTTAATCTGTGAGTTGGTGTGATACCACCATCCTTATAGAATCATTGTGGTATTATGTGAAGTTATACTGGTAAAAGACCAGAAATCTACAAATCCATAGATGTATTAGTTATGATGCCCCTTCCATAGCTTCAACTATCAACATTATTAATGATTTACAATTATTTATTCTTCTCCTGAAGGCCCTTCTGAATGCAAGTCTAATGTTTAAAGTTGTTGGCCTGACTTGTTTAAGTAGGCATCCTACCAGAACCTTATATTAAGTATCTCTGAAACTGAATTAATGATTCCTCTAGCCCCCTTAAAATTTTCGTTCTTTCTGACTTCTATATTTACGTAAAGCTACTGTTATTTTTCTTTTCTTAAAGTCATTATGTATTTTTTCCTTTACATCTCACATTCAATCAGCACTTGATTACTTGATTAATGTATCTATTATATTCTTCTTACAGTTTTAGCTGACCAGGAAGCTGTATACATCTAATATTTAAAATTTTTTCTAACATATATATTAAACTGTGATCTTAAATAGTAGCCATCTATCAAATGGAGATTACATATGCCCTCGATATCTCACATTGATATTTTAAGAATTAATTGATAGGTGTGAACATATGGCCAGAACACAATATAAATATATAGTCATTAATTCAAAACTCTTGTCTGCCAATGAGAGAAGCCACAGGGCAAGTTGGTTTCAGAAAAATCAAGAGTAGTGGTTGTTACTGGCTCATGTAATTAAAAATTATAGATGTCGAAATTTCCTCAAGTATGGGTGGGTCTGGTTCTCAAATAATGTCATAAAGAGTCATTCTCTCTAATTGCATCTCTTGTTCTGTTTTCCTGCCTGTAGTTTCCATGTTCAGGAGGTTCCCCTAATGGTGCCATTCCTGCCTGCAGCAGACAGTGTTTATCTTTTAAACAAATCCAGTGTAAAGAGATGGTTTCTCTTTCCCTTTAATCAAAACCAAAAAGCCCCAGATTTGAGTCTCCTTGGCTGACTAGCTTTGTTTGTTTGATATGACTATGCTGAGGCACTTACTGTGCCCAGGAGTATTGGATGATATGATTGACCAGAACCAAGTTACCTAATAAACTCTGGACCACAGGTGAAGATAAGAAGGAAACGGTGATTCCATACTTGAAATAAGATGATATTGATAAAAGAAGACAGAGAACGAAGCTAGGGAAAACAATGTTCAATATAGGAAGTACTAAAAAAACATTTTTTTTAAGTCAGAATTCTTTATTATATTTAAACTACAGACATTGAAATACTACATTAAAATACAACTGTGTTTATCTTCATTTCTGGTATTAAATGGTACTTAACTTTATTTAATATTATTTGATCCACTTGTGCTATTGAGAAGCAGCAGAACTTGGTGGTTAGGAATCTAGACCTTGAACTAGTTTTCGAAACTTTCTTAACTCCAGTTTATTTCTTTTAAAGAAAAGTTACTGTACCTTGCAGTGCAATGCCTGAAACACAAGAGGAAGAAAAAAATGTAAAAATTTTGTAATTTTTTACAACAAATAGGTAAATAACCATATTACATTTTTATACCAGGGTCCTATATGGTATTGGTGTTGTGTATTTTGGATTTTCTGTTAGGAAAAGTAATAGTTCACCAATACTGTAATACCAAGACATTAGAATATTATAAGTTGAGGTGTTATCATTGAGTGTTTCCTTTAAATTCTCTATTTAATTTTGCAGCCTTTACATGATAAAATCCACTGAGTCTTTGAAACATAGGACTGACTGAGTCATATAATTCAAAACTCAGCAAATACCTTGCTGAGAACTGCAGTAATCTCAATATCTGGGATTCAGAGTACATGCGTGTGCACAAGAAAGACTATGCAAGATAATGTATTTTTGAGGATGTTATAATCTAGGTGAAGAAGTAAAGCACACACCAAAAAAGATAAATTATGGTTTAAAGGCAACAGATGCTATGTATCTAAGGTACATATTTTGGTTAGGCATATGATTGTTTCAAGTCAGATCAGCTTTACTGATATATCAGTATAAACTTATGAAAACAAACCCAGAATATTGGTCTTAATTATACCATTGTATTGATGTATCATTTTAGAATGTAAGAAATATTTTATGACTGAAATATTTGTAATTTACCAACTTTGAGTCATAGTTGGGGGATAAATTGAGTTTGACAATTTGTTTTTTAAATATTCTCATATATTTATCATTATTAGACATTTTCTTTAAGGAAAAAAGGTAGGAATTATGCTTTCTATTAGGAGTGAAATATACATTTTTCAGCACAGCAAGTGCTAGAGAGAAAATATCTAAATCTTTTAAGAAGGAAAGCTGCATTCTGAGCTCTGTAGCAGGAGGTGTCAGACCTTCATTCTTGTTGATATATCAAAGGTACGGATTTTACCCTCCTTTTTTAGTCTTGTCTGAGAGGTAGCTCCGAACACCATGGGAAGGGTAAACTTGCTAGGAAAAAAACCCTTGTGATCCAAAAAGAGTATTCAGTTTTCAGTTATTTCATCATAAGCATAAAATGTTGGGATCCAAAACCACTGAATGCAAAGCTTTTTAAATTTATAAAATTCTAATATTAAAAAAAAAAAATGTTCACATAGCCAGCCACACTTAGCATGTACTTAAACTAAGGCATTTCTCAAAAAAGGTATATAAAATTCAAACTCTGAAGAGAATAAAAGAAACCACTTTTTTGATTAGTTTTTGGACATTATTTTGTTCCTTTATTAGAAACATGTTTGTGGAAATGCATATGCTCTGTTTGAGTCATGCATACCATGACTCGACACCAAAATAAAGGGATTTTATAGCCACTGTAAATTTAGAAACATAAAAGTGAACATAAGAGAGAGAAATTATTCTATTACTTTTGTCAATTTACATGCTCTTATTTTATTTTATATGGAAGTATCGAAACTTCCTAAGAGATTTGATTTATTGATTCAATTTGTAGAAATGATGCGTTAGCCAAACATGCTGTCATTCACTCCAGGTTCAAGGCCTCCTTGTAGTGCTTCATTTTGTTGACGTAGAAAAGGTTCATGGAGCTGCTACTGAAAGGGCAGAGATGCCTTCCTTTAGTACAGAATGCCATATTTTTAAGAAGGGCTGAAATGAACCTATTTTATTCTTAGATGATTCTTAAGAACATACATTTAAACTTCTGCCATCTCTTTTTATTAGTTTTATCTGAATGAATAATGTAGATTAAATTTGGAAAAAGTTAAGTACTTTCTAATGTCATCTACAAAGTTGTTACACAAACTCTATAGCTGTACAGAAGACACGTCAACGAGCCCTCTCATCAGCTAATTTCCGACTCCTTTACAGATTGCAGGGGAGC